AAATTAAAAGTGTTGAAAATATCCAATGATTTTGGCCATCTTAGTTAATGAATACATGACAACGAATGTGTGTCTTGGATCAAGTTAAAGATATTTTAATTTACTGTATTAATTTCTAGTATGCAAATACACTCAAAACATACCTTCCTTTTACTTTTTCCTGTCCCATTGACTGACTCAGAATGCGTAGATGTGAGAGTTTTGCTTTGAATTCCAACCCAAAATTTCTCTAGATCTTGAACAACAGTTGCACTGGAAAGAAAACAAAATAATCATTATTTGTCTATCAAAATATTTCAGTATAAAATGCCAATAAACTTTCCTCCCCCCCCAGCCAAGAAAATCCACTCTATTTTGATTTTAAGGGTATACAGTACATGTTTGAAAAGAACATCATCATTTTCCAGAACACTTTTCCAGTTACTGTATTATCACCCAACATCATTTTAAAGATAAATAAAATAGATGCTGAGAAGGAGCAGAAGAGGAATGGACACTATTTGAAGAAGCGCTGACTCCAGTGGGGAGTATCAGCTCAAATGTCCATAAAAATTGTCACACCTCTTTCCCACTCCGACCATCTATATCTATGATGGAGAACTGATTTTCATGGCCTTAATGAGTGGAAGCGATTGTGTTTTTAATTTGTGTTCTTTTGCCCCTTTTTGTATTCCTCAAGATTTAATGAAGCAAGGCCAAGATGCCTCTATCAAATATCTACATTTCAAACAATATCAAGCTATCAAATATTTAGATATTTTCAATTACATCAAGCATGCATTTTTTTAGACCAGGTGATATTTTTTACAAGCTTCAGATCTGCAAGAAAAGTAGCATTAAATGTAGGATAAATTTGTCTTCTCCTTTTTTCAGCAATTAGTTCATGGGTAACTTATTTTTATAATTCAAAAATAAGTTCACGGAAACTTATTTTTAAATTTATCTTACAAGCATTTACATCAAACTACTATTCTTCTGCTGTTCAAAATGAAAAAAGTTGTAATTGAATGGAGTCTGAACTTCACTGATTCAGGGAACTAGTTACATTCATATTGTTGCTCATGTAATTAAAGAGGTCAAAGTGTAAAAGCTGGTTACTCAAAGATCCATTAATTACACTGTGCTTAATGGAATTATTTACATACATTAACACCTGTAGGACAGTGTTTACCTTTTATAATTATACCTTGAAATGGAATCATGTTATTTAATGGACACAGTGGGAAGTTATGACAAACTATGAAAAAAACCATAATTGTAGCAAGACCAAGAACATCAGAAATAGCAGCACAGATCCATGTTAAATTAATCCATAGAAATAAAATTTCAAGCCAAAAAAAAAAAAAAGAAAAACAATTATTTACATAAACTGAAGATCTCTAACATCACGGGGAGCAATCCATGTTGTTGTAACTTTCTGCTTCACATCTGAATTTGCATGACTTACTGCTGAATTCTGCAATTAAAAAGAAATACATATAATTATATAAGATGCAAAAGTGACTTTTACCTATACTATTAGGGGAACTGTCTCTACTACAACATGTAACACTGATGTCCTCCTAAAAGATGCCAGGTAGCTTCTGCATTAGATTCATATCACATATAGAAGATACATGTATTTCTTGAGAAAGTCTAAATTTTTAAACTCTACTGATGAAATAACTTTGCCACATAAAAAATGCTCACTTCTTCTGTCAATTCTGATTAAAGTATTTAAAAGAAAACCAAGCTTAAGTAAGTATTCCAAAGACTGAACACATACCGTCACGTTATGACATTCCAAGCCTTTAGTGTTTGGATCTGTAATTTTAAAAGTACCAACAGGAACATCTCCTTCTATTTCTCGAGCTTGTAGATTAAATCCTTTAAAACCAACATCTTTAAGTGCTTCTAGAGTCACTGTGAAAACAGACATTTTGAGAAATTTAAGTTTCATACACAACTGAAACCTCTTAAATGTTTAAAAACTAATTTCCTTCACTCCAAAGCACAAGACTGCATGTACAGAAATTACTTAAAACCTTTTATAATTTTTAAAAATGTTGTGATTTATTGCAGTTTTTATTAATTATCAAAAGAATGACAATAAAGGAAAAGGAAGAAATTTAAAGAGGCATTTCTGTGTAAGGTAACATGAAGTATATGATTTACTGACAATTTTAAAAGTAATTCTGCTCTATCAAATGACTACAACTTTCTCATTAATCTCATTTGCTTCCCATGCATACTCAGAATATTGGCCAATGGCCCTGCTGACCAAAAGGTTATTTATTTTCTGTCCAATTAGGCCTACGAAGTCAAAATACCTATGGGAGAAAGAGAATTGCATTTCTTCGTACCTCTGTTTCAAAAGAAAAGATTAACTTTTGCCTAAGGCTGAATTGCAGAACCATTCTTTTTTTTCATGTGTTACAACTGGCAAAACAGAAACTAGACAGTTTGGCTCTCAAGTTCTATATTAAACACGAAAAATTAATAATGATGAACTCAATTTTACTCAAATTTTGTTACTGAAGGAGCTCAGAAAAGTATGGAAGAGAGTGGTTTCATGTTTTGTGTATATCCAAATTGAAATTAAATTTCAAAAGGCATAATCAAATTTGTTATGATCTATTATAAACTTGCTCTGCTAATGCCAATATTAGGCACTTTTGCAAATAAAATCAGAATAATGATTTATGCCCAAAGGTATGTGTAGTCATTAAAAGTAAGGACAGATAAACTGACACAGAAGTCAAGGCAAGGACCAATCATACCTTGACAATTTAACATTTCCAAACACCTGCATAATTAGCCTTCCAATTTGTCATCAACTTTCAGTCCTAATCCACTAATTTTTCGCAGGTCTCACAGGAGGGATGACATCCAACACTTGAATGCAGTGTTAAACCAAGCACAGATGTGACTGTAAGAGTGTGGGCACATGGCATGCCACAGGTGAAACTGCAATATACTTAATACAAGGGCAACCTAATGCAGCTCCCTGAGATCAGGTACTGGATGCTTACAATTTGAAGCAATAGAAAAGTAGTGCTAAAGCAAGAAAAGCATTGTTAGGAAAAAAAAAAAGGAGGGGGAAAAAAAAAGGCAAGGTTAGTAGCATCTGGGATTCAATATTTTTGTCATGGTAAATTCCATATAACCTCACAGAACAGTCTGCATATACTTAAATCCATCCATCATTTTGTTGGCAATACTGTTTTAAAAATAGCTATCAGTAATCAAAAAGCCCTCCCATCCTTGAAGGAGTCATTCACACACGTTTTTCCAAGAACAGCAGCTACAACAGGACTCTAACGCTTCTCCATTTTTCTCCCTACATATGACTCTCCGTGGAAGCACATCCATCCTAATAGGTTTGGGTAAAACAGAATCCCAGCTGTACAGTAGCTACTTAGTGAATAATGTTCTTTTTCAGCTACTGAAATACACCAACGGACATGTGATGGGTTACAACTCACTTCCACGCTTCTTCTAGCAAATGGCCAGAAAAAGAAGCATTCACAAGCCACTTAAAGTGTGACAGCACCATGAGATGGCATCATAGTGTGGAGAAACAAGGCTGTCAAAGTGTTCCATCCAGAGAGCAATTTGGGATTAGGAAGATAAAAAGCCAAAATAGCTCCACCTCCTGCAATTTGATAAAATCTGGGATGCAGCTCTTAGAAGGATGACTCAAAATGTCTCAGTCTTGAGTTGTCTTATATTGCACCCTGAATTTTTATTTTCCTGTAAGATGACAGCATGTGAACATCTAATGAGTAGGATCCCTTTGTATTGCAAGGGCCTGATACAACCGCAAATACTCAAATACGAAGTTAAAGAGCAATTAATTATTAGTCCAGTTTGGCCAGGTGTCCCATTTCATTTTAATTTTGTCACAAAAATTATAGCCTGAAGTTAAGATATAGCATGAAGTTAAGATATATTTATTAGATAGGGAAAAGAAAAAAGAGCGAATATATCTTCAGTTATACAAATATATACATACATAAAAAAACATTAAAAAAAAGATTAATATCTCAGGTATAGATGAATAAGATTGACATTAAAAAATAAATTTAACTAGACTGAGAGGGAAATGGGGGAATTTTGGTGAAAACTGGTAATTCTGGGAGACACAGATAAATATATTATATTATTCAGATTATTTACCTTGGATTTCATTTCCTGGCTCAAAGTTATCAAAAGATACAGCAATAAGATATGGTGGTGCAGATGTCTGTGGTTCAGCCTGATAGTTTGGTAACAGAGAATCACAATCAATTGAGGTATTTGCCTGTGGAAAACCAAGGATTCTGGGCAAAAATATCCCGCAGAACAAAAAAACAAAGCAGGCGTGTCTCCTCATCTGTGGAACAAAAATACAACATAGTTTATGGTAACTTCTTTTTAGTAGTTGCCATGTTTGACAAATATCTGCTTTTCTCCAGGGTAGGAAACAGAACAAACCTAGAAAGCTGGGCTTCCATTGCATTAACGTATTTTGAAGAAAATAAATCAAAATAAAATACCTATATACACTGGCAGAACAGTGCAATAAGGACACAAAGATTTCCATTTTAAAATATTGAATTGTTAATGGCAGTTTAAATTCTCTGGTTACATGACAGCAATCCATTAACAGCCATGTCTGCTGCATTATGGCTTTGGACTAGAAAAGGCTTTAAACAAACTTCCTCGTTGTTGAGCCGGCAGATTTAGCTTAGCTCCTTTGTTATTCAAGAACTAAGACACAATCCTTGGTCTCTCAAACTGCTTTTTGTAGATATCACCATGACTAGCGTGCTCTCTTTTGACTCCTTTGCCTACTCTCACTTCCAAGAGACAGCCAAGAAATCTATTGCTAAATGCCCTGGAGAACTCTTAGAAGTTTTTCCAAATATTTGTTTCCTGAAGGACTTAACAAAAGACTTCCGCAAAGTCCTTTGGAACTTCTAAACAATTCAAAAATACTAAATTGTTAGTGCATGCTTCCTATGGGTTAAGAATAAATTATACCCAGTACAGAAACTCACAAAAATAACTAAGAGGCAGGACTGAAGTCCAGTCTTCAAGAATCGTCAGTGGAAAGAAATTGTATTTTCTTTATAATTCACTTGTAGTACTGATGCTGATAGTAAACTGTTTCCAAGAAAGAAAGTAAACACTTCCCAGCAGTATTCTCAGGTGTTTACTACCAGATTTGAAGGCCCATGTTCAAAGTCAAAACATTCAACCAGCACCACATTATTTGTAAGGCCATTACATCTTACGACTATCTCACTGCTCCAGTTACAAAAATGCTGGTACAACTGTTAAATCACAAGAATTATTTAATAACGCTATTTTTCATGCCTTTCTGCTACAGGATTGCCTTGTGTGATATAACAGGCTGTAACAGAAAGAATGGAGATATTTACTTGAGATTTTTTAAAGCATTTCAAACACAATGTAAGAGACGTTCAATTTGTATCATCTACCTGTGTATCTTAATTTGTGCACCAATGCGTAAGACCATTCGGTTTTCTATGTGCTAATGAAATAAGTAACAGTAGCATCTAGAATCAGGGGGGGAAAACTTCAATTCCAAACACCCATGCATTTAACTCTGAACTTAAACAACTTTTTAAAAAGCCACTGAGTCAACAGATAATAAAACAGGTGACTGTGTTGAAAGATTTCCTATAGGAAGATGATGAAGGTTTGCATGGTGTCACAACCAGTAAGTGCAGCAATCAGAAAGCTATATATGCTAGTTACCATGTCTTTAAAGCAGATGAAGACTATCCCTCCCAAAAGTGTCATGAAAACGTCGCTTAAATGGGATGCTGGTAAGCATTGTGTTTTGGTATCAGTACGCTGGGTGCGGTTATCCAATCTCTTGTGACGATTTTGACATGGCCCACCTCTAATTAAATTTTAAATACAGCATGTAGGTGCTATTATATTAACAGATGTGGTAAACAGTGATTTAATATGAACCAGTCTATGTGTTGTTGAAATCTTTGTCTGACTCATGGAGAGATGGGAAAAAAAAAATAATCTGTTTCTAATTAGGTGTTCTATTTCAAAGCACGGAGTCCTTAGCCCTAGTTCAGCTGGGATTGGAAAACTGTCTGGAGCTGCACTCTGCCACGAAAGAAAACCAGTCTGAAACCTCCTTTCCACTTTTTCTGGCTAGAAAAGAGCCAGAAACACAAGGACAAGTTAAAACATGGCTGAGATCCCTTCTCTTTGCATCAGCTCTCTGATTTAACAGTTCAAGAGCTAGCCTAAGAGTCTCATCATGCCATCCTTTGGAACTAGGTTTTAGATGAGGAAGGGAGAGATATTAGCATCTTACAAAATTGCAAGTCCAGACTTGAGGCAGAAGCAGAAAATAATTTCCATGGGCCCCGAGTTCCAATACATATTCAATGCAATCATGTTATCTTGCAACACAAATTTACCTTTTCTCCATGAAAAATGTAAAAAAACTAGAAGCAAATATTTATAAAATAGAAGCATAGGGAATTCTGGCAAATAAATATTATTTGCAAGCTTCTAGTTGGATATAATTATGAAAAATAAACTGTATCCTCAGTTCCTTCATTTGATGGAAAAATTCTAGTTCTTTTTTTATCACAGATACAATCCCTTCTTCCTATGTGCCTATATGGCCCTCATCGTTGCAGTACCTGAGCTGCTACCTTAAGAATCCTCTTCCACATTTAGTCTAATACGACTTCAGGCCAACAATTAAATCCCTGGCTGCCAGTTAGTTAGCTACTGTGTTCAAAGTCTAGCGGAGTCAGGAAGAGACACTTTGGTGGTTTGCTTCTCCAGAGCCTTGGGCAAACTTCTGAATAGAGTCAAAAGTTGTTTTAAAAGCCTTTAAATATAGAGCATTTAATTATGATGATAAACATTTTTCTGTAATTTGAAAAACACAGTCCTAGCAAGTCCATCCTGCCAACAGTTTAAGATTCAGTCCTGTATACCCCTTTCTAATCCCATTCTTTATGAGTATTTTTCTCCTTTCTTTTCGCCTCCTAAATGCTCCCGATGAGCCACAGACTTACTCTTCAGCCTTTGAGAGTAAGTATCACCAGTTAGCGTGCGCCCTGTCCACCACATCCCCAACAACACACCTTATCGACCGAGTGCTGATGCGTGGGCATCCTCCGGTCCCTCTACGGTCAGCGTGGAAGAGCTGCGGCTGGGCAGTGCAGGTGCCCCAGCAAGATGAGAGAGAGGAGGCGGAAGGCTCGGCCAATCCGCAGCGAGGCGGGGAGCCGGCGCGGCCAATCGGGGCCAGCCATGCTTCTGCCGTGGAAATTAGGACACCGCAGGTGGGACTCTCCTGCCCAGATGGGGCGATGACAACACACGCTCCTCACAGGTGAATCATGCCCCCTCTGACCTTTACCTAGGCATCTGGGGTAGGTAAGGCTTCTGAAGGTTGAGAGCCTAAACTAGTATGTTGACTAAAATCTACAGAATTATGCTATACAAAAGACTTACTAATATTTCATGAGCAGTTCCGGTAAAATATTCAACACTACTCTGTTCAATTTGACCTCAGAGTATTCTGCTGCTAGTTTTTCACTTTTTTACTCCTTTCTTACAGTTGGAAGAGATGTGGAAAATTCCAATCATCGTAATACTGCCAAGCATTTTCTCAGAGCAAAGAGTTAATGAGGCTGGATTATTTCATGTACCTTGTGGGAAGGATCTGAAGTTATTGCATCTGACCTGCATTAAAAACTATACTTTTTTTTTTTCCTCTTCAGAAGCATTTTCACAAGGTCTCTGCTGAAGACTGGGAGAAGTCCAAAAGCTGGATGATGAATAGAATAGAATAGAATATTTTCAGTTGGAAGGGACCTACAATCATCTATCTAGTCCAACTGCCTGAACAATTCAGGGCAGACCCAAAGTCAAAGCGTGTTATTAAGGGCATTGTCCAAATGCCTCTTAAACACTGACAGACTTGGGGCATCGACCGCCTCTCTAGGAAGCCTGTTCCAGTGTTTGACCACCCTCTCGGTAAAGAAATGTTTCCTAATGTCAAGTCTGAACCTCCCCTGATGCAGCTTTGAACCATTCCCACGTGTCCTATCACTGGATACCAGGGAGAAGGGATCAGCACCTCCCTCCCCACTTCCCCTCCTCAGGAATCTGTACAGAGCGATGAAGTCGCCCCTCAGCCTCCTTTTCTCCAAACCAGACAAACCCAGACTCATTAGCTGCTCCTCAGAGGACATTCCTTCCAGCCCTTTCACCAGCTTTGTTGCCCTCCTCTGGATGCATTCAAGGACCTTAACAATATGACAGACATTTCTATTTAACGAGGGAATACCAGGAAATCCATGAACCAAAGACTGTTCACAAGAAACTTCTTCAACTTCTTGATGGTTGTGCCTTTAAAATGTACTTAAAATTCAAAATGCTGATAGCATTTTAAGAATATTATCTATTTTTAAGATTTAGTGTATTTAACTAACTGTATTCTCTTTCAGTTAATTACTGATTACCTTTAATTAATGAGTAGCATTTTATTTACATTATTCCATTATGAAAGACATTACTTTCTATCTGCTGCTATCCATTGGGGAAGAGATCATAATCTTCCTTCTCTCACTGTACCACCAAACTTACCATTGATACCAATGTTATAAATAGCAACGAAAATGCACGCTACACACCACAATTGCAGTAGCATACTGGCAACACCGTCAAATAAATGACACAGTAAAGGAATGTCAACTCATTGCACTAGAAACACACAAAGAGCTGGGATCTTACAAATGCATACATGCAAGACTTCCTTCGCTACCAGCTAAAAGATACTGAGAGGTAACCAGGGGGATCAGAACTATTACTCCAGGCTACTCTGAGCAGCAATGAGTACTCCATGAATATTTGGTTTGACAGGCAGATATATAAATGTCAGGCAATGAACTGCTGTAATCTCGGTAATATTATGGTTATAAAGAAGCATAGATAAGACAAGCAATATGCTGTTGGCTGTAACACTAATAAAATACTATATTGAATAAGCTGGTAAAACTCAGACCATTACTTTACAAAGTGAGAGTTGTAAACCTGCTGTCCCAGCTTTTACACAACATATTGCTTGTGGTTTATTTCAAAGGAACAGTTTTTCCACCGAATCAAACATAGGACACCGATTCAGTATTAATTTACCTGTACTCCAGAATTGCCAGTTAAAAAAAAGTCTTTTTCAGGTCTCCACACTTGAAAGGACAATTTTGAGATCATAAATTAAATACTGACTGAACTAGTGGTGAATTCCTGACTCTGGTGAAACCATGATTACAAAGTTTGCTATGTACTGAAACTACTGTGCAAGTGCAGATCAACCCTACGCTGTATGCACATGGACTTCCCTGGTACTTGGAATGCCTTCAATGCATATTCCTGTGGGGATCTTAGCCTTTTTTTTTTTGTTTTTTTGATCTCTGATTATATGGTAGCCCATATAGAGTTAGCTGGTCTTTCTTTAAAATAATCACATTAGACTTGTTCTACCAAGGGTGAGTCAATTCATTTTAGGAACAAGCCAGGGAACATGGGAGGGAGGCCAGAGTCCAGAACACTGAAAGGAAGGGATCCCTACTGGGCAGTGGGTGAAAATTTTAAAGGGTACATGGTGGACAAAGGGGAAGCCAGCTACTCACCTAAGCAAAAGAGTATCTTCTTGAATTAAGGACTGCAAACCCTGGCAGAGTTTTCTAGAAATATTTTGTTTCTACTAAAAGCTGTTGAAACCAAATCAGATGAAGCAGCCTGGTTCCTTTTTCCTCACTGACATTAGGACCTCCAACTGCCTTCATGACCCTCAACAGCCTTCAGCTTGCTCTCCGCAACTTCTGAGCCAAAGATTATTTTTGATCTGGTAACTTACATTGCAACTGGAAATGCTAGAAAGCATAACGAAGCTTCAGCTAATGTCAACATGCTTTCCTGACACCTAATCTGAGAATCACAAGAAATTTCTGTAATACCCTACATTTCATCTCCAAATGAAAGTGGTTTGCTCGGTGTACAGTATTAATGCTATTAAGAGGACATTATCATTGCTGCAATCCTCCAGCATACTTTCTGTAACTCGAAAGTACTCAACAGAAGTTATTTTGAAACACATTCTAGTCTAAATTTAGTGGTGAGGATTCTTAACAGGCTATATGAATTGTATCATGATGATTATATGAAGAGATGTTTATTTACTTTTCCTTCAAAAGCAGTGTTTCTTCTGCCTTACACTAGTGTGTCAATATTTATATCCTATTTCCAAGGTCTTTAAGTATTGCCACATTTTTTATTTATAAGGGAACATTATACTCCCTACGTTCAGTAATTATATTCTCTTCTTAAAAATACATCAGCATATCATACAGTGGAATTACTTACTGCTCAAAATAGCTCTAGCTATAACTAAGTGTAGTGTTGTTCTTCAGAAAAAGAATGTTACATTAAAATAGTACATTGTAAGAGCCAACTAAAATTTACAAAGTGTATTTTGCACTCTTAAGGAAATATATGAAATGTACTCTTGATATACCTGTAACTATCTGATAATTCAGCAAACCAGTAATTTATACATTTTTCTAGAAAAAAAAAGAAGATATGAAAATTACCCTTTCTCACATATTAAAAATTTTCAACTCCTTGTTGTCTTTAATTTGTCTTTGCTCATGTTAGCGCTTTTCTTGTCTGATTTAAATCCTGCCAACATTAGCATAAGTCTGGTACTCTATAAATAACAATAATGGTCCACACCTCAAAAGTCCTAGTTAGATGATGTCACTGGGAGCCTTACGTGAGAATTAGTGAGCAAAAAGAAGGTTTGACTTCACTACAAAAGAGTAGAAAGGGAGTGATCAAGTGGATTACTTCTACTGAACTTTTTTGCCACAGTAGAGATGAGGGTGAAAAAGACGGTGCATAGCTTATCGATGCCATACACTTATGTGCTGCTCAGGAGAAACACCTGACATGAACAGCACATACAACAGGAATGACATATGAACGTTGCATCATCTTATCTCATGCATTGTGCAAGCTAACAAGTAGTATTGTCCCTATGTGCTTTTAAGGTGAGTGCTTGGGTGTGGCTGCAAACATATGCAATACTTCATATAAGCCACAGTGACTAGCGTTTGTTAGTGATTTAACAGACTCTATATTCAGATTTAAGTAAATGTAAACATCTGTTCATGGAATGGAAGACATTATAGAAGTGGGATCCCACTACTGAGATATGCAGTCCAAAAGAAAACTGGAGCCTTAATATTAACAATCAAAATTCATTGTTTTCACAGTCACAGAGAAGCTAAATGGTCTCTCTTACACGTATCACCTACTGGTACTACCGAAAAATTCTCTTTGTATGTAATTTGTATCTATGGATCCAGAATACCTCAAGCACAGTTGAAATATGTTTACAGGCTATTTGTAAGTCCCTGTGGCCTAGAGGATTCACCTGTATAGCGGAGTTAATGCAATGCATATATATGCATGTGTAGTCCACTCATGAGTAAGCAGCTAGAGTTCAATAATGTAAGTTTAGCTTTAGAGCTTCTACCAATCCGATAGTACCAGGTCAAAAATAGTATAGCTACATGACACAAAACACTAACCGCTATAAACTCATTTTGCTGATGCACTCTCGTTCAAAAATTTTGACTGCTTAGGCTAATTGAGT